CCCATGCTCCTTCCATTCCCCCCTCCCCTTCCACCACACCAGACTTACCAGCTGGACACAGCTCTCCAAGCTGCCGGGCTGGTATCAGAAATCAGATTGGCATCGGCCGATATGCCCCCTTTAAAATCAGCTATTGGTGTCAGCCCCAAAAATCTTTATTGGTGCACCCCTGTCCACCATCTTGGGCATTGAGAAGCAAGTTTCCACTGCAATTGAGGGTAGGAAGTCATTGTTTTTGGGAAGACTAGCTCTTTATATTGCCCTGCATTGCTCCTAAAGGTCTAGACATTGTTGTCAGCTGGCAAAACAGTCTTTTTTGCACTAGTACCGATTTAATGCAAAGCAGAACAATAGATCATTTTAAAGACTTCCTGGAGTTATTTAATGAGGATTGCTGAAACCGTGGTGTTCGAGATGCCAGCTGTTAAAGAAGCCAACAAGTTACTTGTCAGCTTCTGATTCAGCCAGGACTGCCTTTCCCATAAACAAAGGCTCGCTCATCCCTTTTAAGACATCAGCCATATTAATCTGTACAAAACAAATCAAAAAGAGGTAACAGTATCTTCTGTAACTGTGCCAACTCGGGCAGTACACTGGCAATACACCAGAATTCAAGTAAGAGTAGCCCAAAGAACAAGGCCCCTGAAAGCTTGAACTTTCCAAGAGAAAGTTGTACTTTTGCCTTCCCTGCAACTATAGATAGCTAATGGCCATGTCCTGCTTACCATGTTTGACTTTTTAGCATGAGGCAGGGTGACTCTTACTTCTCACTATATAATTGTGATAAGATGTAGCTTTCTTTGTGAGAGCTGACTTTCTAGACAGAGGAATTGTGGTGAATCCTGCGATGGGATATTGGCAAAATCTTTGATGTGGTGCCACATAGGAAATTACTGACAAAGCTGGAGGAGTTGGGGGGGTTAGTAGAACAATTGTAAGGTTGGTAAATAACAGGGAGATGACAACAGGTGGTGTTGAAAGTCTCAGGCTGGCGAGGGGTTACTAGTGGAGTCGACCAAGATCAGTTTTTCAGGCAGTCTTGTTTAATATTTTTATTAATTACCTTAGCAGAAGAAATGAAGAGGTACTTACGGTGAAGTTGCATAGTTTGGAGTTGTCAGTGTAGAAGGAGGATCAGAGTGCCATGTAAAAAGAACTAGATGGCCTTGAAAAGTGGAATAAAAGAAATGGAATGAAATAATAGTATGATCATGCAAGCTGTAAGTGAAGAGTTCATCAGTTACAATGACTGAGGAGAAACAGGACAAACAAAAGGCAAATGCATTTCTAGGGTGCGTCGGTTGAGATAGTAGCAGTAGAAATAGGTAAATGTTAGTGCCGTTATGCAAAATATTAATTCAGTCCTAGTTAGAATATGGTTCTCGTCAGCTGTACTCATAAAAGATGAACTCAAACTAGAATGGAGAGCCTCGAATGCCATACAAGAGGAGACTCTTAGAACTTGGGTTGTTCAGTGTCGCAAAGCAAAGGCGAAGAGAGGAGGTGGCCGCTCTATATAACTCCATCAGGGAGGAGGCTGAGGAGCTACTTTCAGCTAATGGACAATGGTTGTATAAGAACAAAGCGAGTGTAAAATTAGAAGGTGGTTTCTAACCACGGGAGCAGTGAGGCTTTGGACCAACTTTCTAGTAGGAGGAGTAGGGCCAAAAGACTGAGGGGCCTTGAAAGATCAATAAGCAGTACCTTAAATCTTTAAATTTCAAATAGTTGAAGGCCAGGTTGCAGCTGCCTCGGACTGCTGACTGTCTGATATTAGACCTGCTAACTAACTGATGGCTTTCTTTCCTCTCTGTCCCCATAGATATTTATTTGTCCTGCAGCTAAAACAAGATATTCTCAGTGGAAAGTAAGTATTTGTCATTATTTATATGAAAGTCTGTCCGCCAATTAGTGTCTCTAGCACAAGGTTTAACACAGTCTCTTTGAAAAAGTATCATATTTCATTCACTTTGACAAAATGTATTTTCCCTTTAATCCTGCCTGTGTGTATACAAACACATATTTTTGGCATGCTGTTTCAAACTCCCGCCCCCCCCCTCCCAAAAAAACCAAAAAAAACCAAAAAACCAAATCATCTTTTATTATAATGCTTTTCTAAAATTATTGAAGATTCACCCCTCAGTGAAACAGTTTGCAGTTTCCCATGTCTCAGTATAATGGCTTGAGTGATATCAGCTTTACAAAAGCCCTGATGTGCAAAGATTTGCGGAATGACCTGTTTTTCCTGTGACAGGTTGGAATGTCCCTTTGACACAGCAGTCCAGTTGGCAGCTCATAACTTGCAAGGTGAGCAGAATGGGGGAACTTGTCAGGACCCTACCTTGTGGCCTGGTTACTCCCACCCCCACCACCGCCCCCTTACCCCGCTGGCCAAAAATGGAGCGTGAGCTGTACGTGTTTCATACTGTTTTCCCTAGAAACGTTCTTTTCTCAGACATCTATGTAAGTGTCTGCTTTCTGTGGGCAGTATGTGTGCACTCCTCTGGAACTTTCCTCGTGGAAGAACGTTAGATAAATGCTGAGTTAGGATTGTGGTTACTTTTGCTGTAGATAGTAAGACTAAATTATGGATACTGCTATTTGGGCAAGCATTTTGCAGAACAGCTTTTCACTTTAAGTCTGTGCTATGTTTATAGGTGGTCATAGTTGGTAGTTGCTTTGGAGACAAACACGTTGGGAGATTGTATTGTAAAGAAATCTGCTGCTTAATCCTTTGTATTTAAAAAGAGCTTGAGCACCCCATCCTATGATGTGCTGGCATTCTTAAAGCTTTAAATCCAATAATAATCAATGCTTAAAACACAGAGTTAACTCACTAGGCACTGTGCCCAACTCTTAAATATTGCCACTTCTTTTCCTCTTTCTATTCTTAATTCTGCAGCAAGGTTTGGAGCAGGTCTTTAATCTCTGTTTGCTTGACAGCTGAGTAGACAGAGGAAAGGCCTTTTAATGAGCTTGTGCTTAAAAATCCAAGCAAAAGATTTTGTGTATAATAAATATTTAAGCTTTTTTTTTTTTTTTGCACTTTGTATATTTTGCATATAGTTAATAGCTTTCTTTTTTTTTTTTTCTCCAAAGGATTTCCCTTTCTTGCCCAAAAAACTTTTATTTTTTTCGAAGAAAATATTTCCTGCTCTGTGCTTTGGCCAGAATTTCAGTGCCAAAAGTTTTGCACGTGTTATGGGACACAGCACTTTTAGTACGCTGGCAGACGCTTGTTAATACAAAACCTTTCAGTTGGTTAATGTTTCAGATTATTAAATTCCAGATACTGTATTTTGACTCTCTATTGTGCTTAGGTTTGGAAAATACTGATCTTTGACACTTAGCATCTGTGAAAAAGGGAGCCTGCACCTTGATGTAACAAAAATAATGTGATACTAGTGTGCTCTAAGTGGAAAAGTGTTTTCTTATTTTTCTGCTTACATGTTTAGAGTAATTTTTTGTGGAGGGTTCTTAGGAACATTTGACACCCTATTTTGGTTTTAATCAATGTTTTACAGCAGGGATCGGCAGCGTTTTTGGGCACTATGCCAAAAACACCCACAACCTTGACTTGTAAGAGGTTGGATTGCCAGTGCCAGATGGCACGGGAGCCACTAGGGGCCTGATGCTTGTTGTGGCAGCACAGCCCTGGCCTCTTCCCCGTCCTCTGCCCCAAGGCACCTGTACACCTGCCACCAGCAGTGAGCCAGGCCAGAGCTCCACAAACCCTGGTGCAGCCACTTGCAACCTCCCGGCTGCCTGTTACAGCCCACCTGGGCTCTGGACAGCCCCCTGCCTCCTGCCACGGAGCCTGGGCTACTTGCAGCAGACAGCGAGGAGGTTGCAAGCAGCTGCACTGGGGTCCACAGAGCCCTGGCCCAGCTCATTGCCAGTGGTAGACGTATGCACACCTCGAGGCAGATGGTGGGGAAGGGGCCGCAACAAGGATGGGGTCCTTCCTGGCTCCCTCACTGTCTGTCCTGAGATGCACATGCCAAGCAAAATGCCTTCGCTTTCCATGCTCTGGCACACATACCGAGGGTTGCCTTACCCCTGTTTTACAGTCATGTTTAATAACTTTCAGTCTTGAATTTGGAAAGACTTCAACACTAAATTGTTAAATTCAAGAACATTTATGCAAAACTGGTACTTTTCAGTCATATTGATGATTTTTGCCTTAAACTACCACTCTTGATTGATTCCTTCCCCCCCCCACCCCCAAGAAATGTTTAAATGAATAGAAATAGTGTAATTTCACAGTAGCAGATGCTGGGATCACATATGGATCATAGATTTGTGTGTTAATGCCTACAATGCCAAGGCCAAAAGAAGTGACACAATATTGTGGGGGGTAGAAGTTCAAGATCTTGAACACTTCTACTTTTTTTTTAAGTTGTTGATGCTTTAGCTCAGCAGTCAGCAGTGTTTTACAGCAGTGTGCTAGAATGATCCAGCTCCAGTCTTAAGCAGACCAGGACTAGTCCCCAGCAACTGCCAGTGCCACTGCTTCGCTCCACTGCCTGGCTGACATATGGGAAAAGCTCCTCACTGCCAAATACCTCCAAAACCCTGTGGCTCCATGGACTGTAGGCTGCCAATCCCTGCTTTAGCCTAACCAGTTGTTAACACCACTGCCTTTGAGGTAGGATTAGCCTTGAATGGATGCCTCTTGACAGAATTCTTCCTTTGTAGCTGAACTTGGAGATTATGATCCTGCTGAGCATGTCCCTGAACTGGTGTCTGAGTTCAGATTTGTGCCCACTCAGACTGAAGAGATGGAACTGGCTATTTTTGACAAGTGGAAGGAATGCAGGTACAAGAGCTCCCAATACACTCACTGAATCTACTTCCTGACTCTTCCCTGGGTAAAGCATTTGTAAAGGCACCCCAGTGATGCCACTGATCTTCCTGTGTCAGGTTGTATCTGAATGCAGTCCTAACGGCATTCCAGCAAAGAATTTTAGGGAATAAAATGTGAAAACTGGTATTTCTCTCTCATTTGGCACTGCAGTTAGAGGAGAAACTTCACTTTCCATGAACGGAAAAACTAAGCAATCTGGGTGAATTGCAAAATTAGATAACTTCTTTCACATAGTACATTTTGCAAAGTCCAGCTTCTCAGGTTAAAAGTTTTGGAAGTGACTTTAGTGTCCATAGAAACTAGCACAGGAGCCTTCAGTGTTTTGCTAGTTACAAACCCACCAGCATTTCTTTTACTCTTTTCCTGTGTGCCAGGTTTTCCTTTGTGTAGCTTTTTCCAGGCTTATGTTTTAACTTTATTTCAGAGGACAAGCACCAGCTCAAGCTGAAACTAACTACCTGAACAAAGCTAAGTGGCTGGAAATGTATGGGGTGGACATGCATATAGTCAAGGTAAGTTTGCTCACCGGACCGTGACTTTATTTTTAGAGATGTCTGTGTTTGCAGGACAAATATTCAAGTGCTGGGCAAAGCAAAGTGCCATAGAGGAAAACAAATTAAGCTCAGACAAGAATGTTGTGCTTGTCTAAACCATGTGATACTTAGTCTGGTTATGCACCATTGTTTTGCTTCACATAATTACATTGTGGGATTCTGGAAGCTGTATTTTAAATGGTATATTTTTTGTTACATATACCATGTGAAAACAGGTACTACAACTTGCATTCAGCTTAAAAGCTCTGTGAGAGTGAGTGAATAAAATCAGAATTGGCTGGGATTTAATCGAGTATTAGTTTACAAACCACACAGAGGAAGGACAGAGGGTTGTGAAGGAATAATGCAAGGTCATCTTTAGCTTCTGTGGATTTCAAGAAACCCTTTCTTTGCTTTATCTGGGTCTTTTTAAAGAGTCGTGTTGCTAAATAATTTATTTAGTAGGATTCTTCAATGCAACTGGTTTGTGAGATTATGGTTATTGCAGTAAAATGCCAATTGTAGTAAACAACTGTAGTATAATATTAGCAATGACGTATAGCAGGGCTGACCAGCTTTTAAGTGGCTGGGTACCATGCCAGTGGGGCTACATCCCCCCACTGTACCCTATGTCCTGTGTGCCCCCTGTCTAGCACTGTCCTTCCCCTACCCCTGCTCCACTGATGCTCTGTGCTGCACTGTGGACCTTACTGTGACTTCTCCTGCCCCCACCCCAGATGCACCATGCACGCAGGCACTGCAGCTTGAGCTTCCTAGCTGCGAGCTGCCCTGCTGCACTGTGCTGCTCAGGCATACTGGGGTGTAGGCTCCCCCAGCACTGAAGGCTGTACCTTGTTGCACTGCCCTGTTCCCTGAAGCAGGGACACAGGCAGAAAGGAAGAGCTTTGACAGCCCTTAAGTATAGAATATATTGAATGTTGGAAGAAGTTGTATGCGAGCCCATACATATGGAAATGACAGAGTTTTCAACCTTGGTAACTAGGCAAGGGACGGCAATGATTACAGCCTCGGCCTGACGCCAACAGGAGTCCTTGTTTTTGAAGGAGACACCAAGATTGGTTTGTTTTTCTGGTAAGTTGGTTAATGAAACCTCTTAAGAGATCTTCCAGTCGGTGGTCTTCACTTTTACAGTAGCTAAGAATGTGTCAACGTCAGGGGTCTGGGACAACTGGTCAGTACAACTAATCTGCAAAATATTCCATAGGGTTAAAGCTGTGGGATTTTTTGTAATGTCCAAAACATAATCATTCTTGGCTAATGTTCTTGACAAATATCTTAGTGGGCTTTTGGGTGCACCATGTATAAGAGGAGAGGGGGTGATGGGACAACCTGGGAAAGTATGCTTGGGAGTTCATGCTACCATTATGGGAGTTCATTGTGTGTTTATTTATCACAGTGTATGGGAGGAAAGGGAGAACATTCAACTAATCACATTGAGCGTGTTTGGACATACAGGCGAAATGTGGCTTTCTTCTTAAGGTGACTTGGAGGAGAGCAGTGACATGTCATAACTCGTTGAAAGCAGAATACTAAAGCCAGTCTCTTGTGAAAGAAATGGCCCCCTTTCTGCCCCACACATGCTATAAAGAAGTGAGTTCAGGCCTGAGGAAAAAAATATATATAGCTGCATAGCATGGTAAGGCGTTTTGCCCAGTTTGTACCAATGCAGCTGTTGTACCTTAAAGTCCCTAGGCATAACACCAACCACAATTCGTTGGAGATTTGAATTCAGCAGCAGGGGAAAAGAAAGGATGAGCAGCTGCAGCATTCAGCCTTTCAGCTCCATTGCTCTGCTAAAGCTCTGAGCTCACAGGTGTGGCAACACAGGCAAATGTTGCCGTTGATCATCCCCTCTTTTCCCCTGCTGCTGAATTCAGCAGGGGGAAGGGTGCAGATGGCAGCAGTGTTCGCCCTCTGAGCTCTAGAGCTGCACAAAAGCATGTCTGTGGCCAAAGTCCATGCTGGTGAGTGCAAAGCTTTCATTTGGCTCCGGAGCCCAGGGGGTAAAGGCCACCGTTGCTAGCCGGCCAGAGGTTGAACACCACTGGTGTAAAGCACAGTAATCTTTAACTACCACATCCTACTCTGAAAAAGCAGGCAGACTTACTTAACAGTATTGGCATTTTGTATCTGTGTGCTGTGTGACCCAGCTGGTAAGCTCATATCCTGCATCTTCCTCTACTCCATTGGGTTTTTGGTAGTATATGCCAAGTCCTGCTTTCCCACGTCCATGCTGTGCCACTTGGAACTTGCATGTGGCACTAGAGTCGGGGGGGGGGAGGGGGCATCCTTATTGGAGCTTTTTGAGGACCTGGACCATGGTGCACCATGGGGCAGCTTGCCTTTACTTAATGACCTCAATGGTGGAAGTTTGTTTAACCTGTGATAGCATGTGGCTTTGTCAGCCCAGCACAGCCCTTGGTTTTGCACAGTTGTAGAGTAGAACAACTGTGGAACCATTGGAGGAGCATCTCTCTTGCTTCCAATGGTAGCTTCATCCTTTTAAACATTTCTGCGTCTTTTGAAATCTCTGAAGCTCTTGATGAAGAGTGCCCACCTCTTTCTGTTTTGGGAATGCATTTACTGTCTAACCAAGTTGCTTCATATGTTTTTAAAAATTTGTTGCTGCTTGTTGGGTGAGTTCTGGAGGAGAACACTGCATAACTTTCAGCTAGGTACTAATAGAGGGTTCAGGTTTATATATGCTGTTTTTTCATGTTCATTTTGCAGGCCAAAGATAACCAGACTGGATTTCAAGAAGAATAAATTAACACTAGTTGTTGTTGAAGATGATGAACAGGTAGGTAAACTTTTGCTCTTAACTGTTTTGCTGTCACATAGGTAAGATTTGCAACTATTAGTAACTCTTGGTGGAGGCTTTTTTTCTAAGTTTGCAGGAATAGCGTAGCAGCATTGTGGGATTTCTACTTGTGATTTTTGGGAGGATGAAAGGGATTATATATAAAAGAAATTGAGCCATGTCTCTGTTTTTTCTTTTATTTCACCAGTGCAGTGTTTAAATAACACGGGCTATAGCACTTGCAAAGAGTGAGTTTGCTGCTTTGCATTGTTTAAGAAAGCTGGCAAAGGAAGGTATTATAAATCCCAAGCAGTTGGACTTCATTTCTGAAACAGATTCCAAAAGTGCTCCCAGGAGGAGAAATTGCTTTGAGCTGAGCAGATTATGAAAAGAGGAGATTGGTAGCTCATGGAGGCTGATCTGATTTGGGAAAGAGACTAGAAAGTTAGCTTTCACAAAAAGTACCTTTCTTGGAACAGCTTCAATCCATAATTGTTCAGAGCTTGGCTTCTTAAAGGGCCTGGATCTAGCTCTCCTTCCAACAACTTAAAGAATTGGACCAATTGTTACAACTTTTGGAAAGGTTGTCAGTCTCCCCGCACCTTTTCCCCTTAAAATGTTTTTCTTCCAACCTTTGCAGAGATCAGTTTAACATAGGGTCTCTTGTAGGCACAGTATTGCTAACATCCAGTTCAGTAAACATTTTCAGTGCTCCCCTCCTTGACATGCATGGTCTCATGTGTATAATTTGGAGCAAGCCAGTACAGGCAGTGTCCTTTGTAAGCCACCTTCCATCAGTAGCACACACTTCCTAAGTTGTTAAAAGCAAATTTTAGCTGATGGCTGGTAACTGTCCTGGTTCTTTGCTCCGAGCCCTGAGCCAGTCTGGACTGACAGTTGTAATTAATTTCTGACTTGCTCTGTGGGGAAAAAAAATGACCAAACCACCTGTTCATGCAATTAAAAATAATGAATATTCTCTCCAGCAATTGCTGTTTATATTGGAAATATTATACCCATCCAAGACTGAGGCAAAGATAAAGGTGCAAGATCTTTCCATTGCAGGTGAATATAAGTTTTATTTAGTGCACATCTAGTTGTGCAGTGAACTATTACTCCAACTTGCCCAAGTCCCTGGGACCTCACAGTGTGTGTTCTGTGCTTTAAGGGAAAGGAGCAGGAGCACACCTTTGTCTTTAGGCTGGATCATCCTAAAGCCTGTAAACACTTATGGAAGTGTGCAGTGGAACATCATGCCTTCTTCCGGCTCAGGGGACCTGTGCAACAAAGCTCAAGCCGATCAGGCTTCATTCGTTTGGGATCGCGGTTCAGATACAGGTCAGTGTCGTCTCACATTCAGCATCTTGTCTCTTCCCATTTCTAGCCTCTTGGAAAGGCAAGTGGTATACAATTTCCATACAGCGCAAACACCTCAAATTGTGAAGATAAATTATTTAAAATTAACCTCTTACTGTGGTAACCAAGTACGGTCTTAAATGAACAAGTCTCTCCTGATTTGCTAATTGAAGTTGCCTCTTTCTCCTCTGTGCCCTAAAGTCGACTCAAGGCCAATGTCCATGCTTCTTGCATGGAGTATATTATGCCTGTGCTTCATGGGAAACCAGAGAACCCCTATTTACTTCCAAGTACAATTCAGAAGGTTGATTTAGATCTGTGCAGACCAGTAGCACTTTTGTCCTGGTCATCTTGAAAATCTGTCACTGTCCTCCCACCCCATAGAGCAGTGGTCTTCAAACTTTTTTGATTGTGCACCCCTATCAGTAAAAATTTTTGAGCACGCACCCCCAATATATGTATATTTATATAAATATAAATAGAAGTTCTAGTATTTTCTTCCCACATCCCAGTGGATTGTCTTGCGCACCCCACTTTGGAGACCACTGCCATAGAGGATGTAATGTTGGCCTTCCTCAGACTTGCACTTTTGACCGTGTTGGCTCTCTGGAGACTTTTGAATTCATGTTGTTTCTTGCATTGTGGTAATGCCTACAAACCTTAACTCAGATCAGGGCTTCATTGTGTGGGAAATTTCACAGATTTGCAGAAAGTACCAGTGTCTGTCCTAGAGAGGTGCTGTAAGGCTGGCAGTCTTTCATCTGTGATTTGGCATACGGGGGGAGGCATGCTTCGTTTCTGCTTGGAATTCCACTTCAGTCCACTCTAATTGACTCTGAGTCGGTTAAGGTCTTACGTCTTCAGCTGAGCAAAATTATGCTCTGCTGAAGCATAATTCTTCTTGCCTGTAAGTTCATAGATTTCATAGACATTAGGGCTGGAAGGGACCTCAGAAGATCATCAAGTCCAGCCCCCCGCCCCAGGGGCAGGAAGTCAGC